AAAGTTAAGGCTGTCCTTTCTACGTGTATACATTACCATCCCTCTAATGTTGTTATGTGCGATTATTTTTTTTTATACATTAAATGGTCTGTCATTAAAATGTATCCAAAAACTTGAAAATTTCATTCAAATCAAAGTTTAAAATCCATACACTATTCTACAATTCCATCAAGTTAGTTATAAGATAATATATATGGTATATACTGGCATAATTAAGGTACAACAACTTTGATTCCCAAAAAAAAAAAAAACGTTACAATGACTTTGATAGATATAGTTTTGTTTTTTTAGTCAACAACTCTTTTTTTTCTTAATAGATACAATTTGGGTAAGGTATAAGATATTGTAACATGATAATATCATAGTTTGAATCAAGATTTTTAAAACCGAATTGATTATTGAACCATTTTTAGGTTTGGTTCTCAATTTGATTGGTTCAACCAATTGAATCGATGAACCGATCGATTCAAACAATAAGGGAAATCTGATGAGAGGGGCAAGTAATTTTGTAATTTTATTAAAATTAAGGGTTAAAATCAGTATAAGAAAGGAATGTTGAGGGTGAAATTGAAAAAAATAAAAAGAAAATTGCATGAAAAATTGAACTGATGATTTTTTCGGTTCTATTGGTTCCACTGGTTTTGACCGATTTTTGATCGGTTTTAATTGATTTTGACCTCAAATGGTTTTTTTGTGTAAACCAAACTATTTTCATTACTGGGTACCGGTCCGACCGATTCAACCGGCCGATCCGATCCGATTTTAAAAACCTTGTTTTGAATCTTAATTATTATTAAAATATTAAATACATCTATCAAATGATTCATAAAATTTAATGTTTTAGTCAACAACTTTGATCTATAGTTACATTGCATTTCTCAATTTATTCATAATTGCAAATGAAGAAACTGGAAAAAGCATTTAAAAAAAAATAACCCTTGATTATTTACTATTTAAATGTTAAAAATAAAAATCCAAAGAAAAAAACATATGTTATTCAATATCAATTACAAAATAAGTGAGATATAGTATTGGTCTTATTTAAAAGAAGTGCTAGGATTAACTATTTTAATGTAATTAATAATTGATAATTAATAATTAATATTTATTATTTATATTTTATAATATATGATCTTTAATTAAAATTAATAACTAATAACTAATTTCTATTTTTTAAACCAAACACTGTTTTTTTTTGTTGAACAGTGTACAATTTGGGGAATGGGAGAAAGGAGTTTTTAAGACAGTGATGGAACTCGAAACCCCGACCATCTCATCCAAACACTTTAAAACTTGGGGTCGAACCATTAAATCTAAAAGTCTGATTCAAAACAAACACCGTTTAAATTTGACTAGTTGAGATTAAATATCTTGATACTATTAAGAAAAGCAAGAAAATAAAATTTTCAATTATTTTTAGTTTCACGAGAGAGATCAAACTATTTTTGGGAAAAAAAATACAATTTTAGGTAGAGAAAAAGATTGGTGGCCAAAAAACGGTAGAGAAAAAGATCAGCAACCTACATAAATTAATAAAGAAAAAAATCATCAGCGACGCATGATACATGATGCATGGCCACATGAGTCATGAGTGGTGCCGGTGGTAGCTGTGGATCGCGGAACCTAATCTTCGTAATGTCCACCCACTAGCGACGAACCAATCCGTGGCGGAAAAATCCTTTTGCCGTGACTTCTACTGAAATCTGTCTCCATTTACTTAATTACCCCTCAATAGATTCTGTATCCACATTACGAGAATATTCGAAGATTAGGGCTATTTCAGTAATTACGTTATG